CTGTAGCATTGCAGAGTGTTGGAGTGAAAGGCCAGTGTCAACAGTCAAGGCAAGACAAAATAAAATCTTAAACATGCATGGAACTTATTTCACTATTTGCATGTTGGTGACAGAGTGGTACAGATACACAAATGCAAATGTAAGGCAAGGTAATATGAAGAAATAGAGAAGGTTTGCAACACTGGGATTCAAGGAGTAACTACTGTCTTTGAAATTTGTGGAATTGATTGAAAAAATCAAGTGTTTTAAAATTTAAAATCTTTTTGTTGGTTGCCCCATGTAACTATATGGTTATTGTGAGGTAGTCTGTTTCTAAGGTCTGTAAATTTAATCTACACTAACTTGTTTCTAAATTTGAGACCAAGGTTGCAAATTGAGTTTTCAGCAAAAGGTGAAATATGGACTGATTAAATCAAGCAATTTATATCAAGCCACCTAATGTTTCATAGCACTTAATGTCCACTATATATAATACCTGGAAAAGAATAATTGTCAGCTAAGTTATAGCCTGTGTACTGAGTTGGAGAGGTCATAATTTTATCACCAGACAAATACAATGCTCTGTGTGTAGAAAAGGGTTAATAATAACATCTGAAAAGCAATTTAAAAGAAGTAAATTAGTAGTTATTTAAATATATAATTTTCACTTGTCAATTTAAAAATCAATAAACTAAAAAAATTAAATGTATACAACAACAATCCTGTCATGATGTCGATGAGAGAATAATACAAATACACTATTTTAAGTAAAAGACTTGATCGCATGCAGCAGTCCATCAGAAAATAATAGAGGACTGTGGACTACATTGTATTTGAATCCTTTAGCTTGATACAACTCTATTCATGTGGAGGGGGCAAGACATGAAAAACCTTTCATTTTGAACAAGAAGTATAATTTTTGGATATAATCTGTAAAATTACTTCTTTGGAACATATTTCTCATGAACATACTCCATGGTCACATTTCTTAATTCAAAAAAATTAAAAATTTCCCCAAGATGTCGGCAATATTGTCAAAAATATTGATACTATTAGACAGAGTCTAAAACTAGGGAGGGGTGTGATCTGAATGTTATAAACACTGAGCTGGCAAGTCTTCAGGATTGTCACACAGCAGGGCATAAAATCTAAATGTAGAAACTATCAAACTACCTAAGCTATACTTCTTGTATTTGTTTTACAGTTCATGTTTTCACTGTTATTTTACCAAGATGTTTTGAAAATAAAATTGATGCAAATATTTGATGACTTTATGCAACCATTTAAAGGATAAAAATTGTTATATAATGTTGTTAATATTCATTGTTATTCAATGGCATATTAAATCTCCATTTTAATTTTCTTAGAGCTATAGTTTTGTGGCTTTTCAATAAAATAGCAAAATGGATGATCAGTTTTCCATATATAAAATAATAGTATGAACTTCATTTTAGCTGATTTCTTTAAGAAACAAAAGGATTTACTCCACCTGGGCAACAAGATACTAATTGCAACTGGCAATAAGAACAATTTTAATAGCAGCATAGACAATAACAGTAATAATAATAATAATTTGAGTTTCATAGATTCTGGGAAAAAATAAAACAACACTTAAAGTTCTTTCATCGTGTTTGTTTTTGAGACAGTGTCTTGTTATGTAATTCAGTCTGGCCTCAAACTGAAAGCAATCCTCCTTCCTCAGCCTCCAGTGCACTGGGATTACAGGCGTGCACCACCATGCCCCAACCCAGTTAAAGTCCTTATCTGAAATTTTCAAGGTAGTTTCATAATGGAGGGAAAATTACATCTATATTTTCCTTAAAACAGTTCGGCTATTGACAAATTTCTGATCACAAGTTGTATTCAGACTATGTTAGTGTTATTAGTCTCCATCATAAAAATTGAGTTTAATTTTTTTATGTGTCCTCAATTTGACAGTGTTCCATCCAGGAAGTATAATAGTCCAATAACTTTTACACAATTAGAATTTTTAAAGTAGTGTAAATCTGATTGGCATCCACATATTTAAACATAGAAGACAGTGTTTTGGTTCTAGCAGAAGTTGCGTATGCTGCACTAGATATTCTTTCATTTTATCTAGGAATAAATGTTTTGGTCTTGTAAATGTAATGTTAAATGAAAGAAATTAGTCACAAATGATTACATATTGTATAATTCCACTTACATGAAATGTTTAGAACATGGGAATCCATAGAGGCACCAATTGTATCAGTAGTTGTTTATATTTGTAGAGGCTGTGGGGACAAGGGGAAGGAGAATAAAGTCTATGGAATTTTTTGAAATGATCAAAATACTCTATCATTGACTGTGGCTATGCGTGCATAACCATGAATATATTAAAAACTACTGACTTCTGTGAAGGGATGCACTGGATATGAATTAAAAAACAAACTATGGTAAAAAATCAGGGGCTTATACCCTACATACATTATACTTCATTGAGTTTTCTTTCTCATAGGTCTTGACCAACTACTTCAACTTAATGAAAATTAGAAGAAATGCATCCCATGCAAAATATTATAAGCCTTGATTATAAGAAAAAAAAGCCTCTACATTTAAATAGGTAATGATGATGTGGAGATGATACATAATAATACTAAATATGATTATAATATCCATAGGAGGAAGATAAATAAAAAATAACATTCATTATGCATTCAGTATGTACCAGGTACTATGCTACATGCTTTTAAGTATTATTTTATCTTATTCTCATAACATTCTTATAGATACCGTTGTTCTTCTGATTTTTATATATGAGGAAATTGAGTTACATAAAGGTGAAATAATTTACTGAGGGTCACATAGCAAGATATGTTACATAAAGAGTTTCAACTTAGTGCATAGTTTTAATAACTAGAGTCCTTCAGTATACAGAATATATAATAAATGGAAAATTAGGAATATATTATGAAACAGTAAAAAGTGTGCTAGAGCCATTGGATGAGAGAACACACCACACTTACATCTCAAAAAGCATGGAAAAATCTGTTCACCTGTAAAGTATGGAGACATTTTGAAACATCTGACTCTAGTATTCATGAGGCATCAAGTAGCTACAAAAATCTAAGATGAACTTTTTCATAAAATAAATATGGCCAAATAGACAACAATCTAAAGGAATGTCACAATGTCAAATGTACAATTACTTCCTCAAAATAAATGTATGTTTATCAAGTTATCACAAGGTATTAAATTGGAAACACATATTATTTTTTCTCTTTTTCTCCAATCTAAACTTTCATTTTTAGTCTGATATCTTTCAAATTATTTCTGTGTTCAAAATTAAATTCCTAATTTGCACTGCACTGATTTTTCCCATCTCTATTTTTTATTGATTTTCTGAGTTTCCTTTCCCATTGTCAAAACTAGCTAAAATGTTATGGCTGCCCTATTCCTACAAATTACAGAAAGCAAATCATCAAGAACACTTTTAGTGCTTTTCACTTAGAGGCAAAATAAATTTGCTTCTAGTCTGGAGGTTAGATTTTTAATGTTCATCTAAATCTACTTAACCATTTTCTTTACATATTAAAAAGCACTTTTGTGTACATTAACTCCTATATTTACATCTAAACATAGCATTCTTTGTCTTTATAAAGTATCTATGAGTAATTTAAAATTTTCCTTCTCAAGCTTTTTACTGTACTATCTTTAAAGGAATAAAAAATGATGCTAGACTACCCTCTTTTTCAATCAGTCTATAAAAACCAATGAAATTAATATTTCATTTTACTGTACTATATATTACTTTTTCTGGTCCAAGCTACAGAAAACAGGAAGGTATAGTACAAGACACAGACGTTCTTTTATGTAGATAATGAAGTAAATAGTCTAGATTTTGATTATTGTGCAGATTAAGTTAGGTGATGCCTCAACAATAAAAAAGATGCAAAATCTCAGTTGCTTAACACATATAACAGTTTATTTCTTGAAAATAGTCTAATGGAAGTTGATCAGTTTTCCAAGGCAGGACCTTTCTAAATGGTAAATTGAAGTTCCAGTTTGTATCCATCTTGAAGGTCGGCCACAGCACTCAGGTCACAGTGACAGATAAAGAGATAGCCAGAGAGCATGCAGGACTTTTAACTGCTCCAGTATGGAAATGACACATCCTTCTGTTTTCAAGTCCTCTACTAGAAGTTAAATCACACTGCCTAACTACAAGTGTGAAAAGTCAGTTGGAGCACAGAAATGTATGATGAACTGTAAATATCTTTGCTGTATTCTACAAAGGGTATATATTTTTATTTTTATTTTATTTATTTATTTATTTATTTTTGGTTTTTCTCCGGTACCGGGAACTGA